CTCCAAGGATTTTTGTTTTGATGAAGCTTGAGAATGTGGCTCCAACTCGCTTGGTTGCCTGCCAAACATGATTTCGCCATTGCTCACGCTTTTTGCCACCCCTTATCGTATTTTTGACTAGCTAGTCATAACAAGTTGAGGTTTTTTTTGTGGATATAAGTGGCCCATATGCTATTTTTTATAAAAAAACTTTAGCTTCATTTTTGTCAACCCTGAAGATAAAAGAAAGACAAAAGCCAACAAGTTAAGAGTGAACTTGTCATGTTTTGCTTGCCAACAGGCACTTGAAAGTTTCATCTCACCGTACCTCATGTACAAATGGACCAGAGGATACAAATATCATATATTATTTCAATGTCAGATGGTGAAATATGTTTGGAGAGGGTTGGGTATGGACGATGTAATTAAAAAAGCTTGTGAGATGGACCGTGTTGGTGAAGTTGTTCTTGAGTTTTTACTCCATTTGCCTGATCGGGATTTATCTATTTTGGGTCTTAAAAATATTCATGAGACGATCACCATTACCACTTGGTATTTGTGGTGGGAAAGACGTAAGTTCGTTCATGGTGAGAGGACACAGGATATTAATCAAGTTGCTTTGGAGATTCATGCTTTGGCGGCTAACTATGTGGTTCCTTCTTCCTTGATGTGACCATGAAGAGGAGGTTGGACTTGGCTCACTGTGGAGTTTGTTAAACTTAATTTTTATGCCTCTTTTGACTAAGACCTGCTTAGCGGCTCGACTAGTGCAATTTTGAGAGATGCTAGCAGAAAGTTTATCTGGTTGAGGGTGGGGTGGAGTATTGAAGAATTGATTGTTGTGCTGATGTCCTGACTACTGAAGCTATTGCACTGAGATTCAGCCTGTCCCTTGTGCAATCGACTGGATGCAATCGCCTTGTCATTAATTTTGATAATCTCTAGGACATCATCACCATGAATAATGGCCCTCGATTAGCAGGAGCAAAGCGCGACAGTTTTTGATGATTGTTATAACATTGCTTGTGATTTTCCTCAAAGTAGTTTCGTACATTATAATAGTGAAGCAAATAAGATTTACTTATGAGCTTGCCATGTTGGCTAGATTTCATGCTACCCGTGCTTAGTTGAAGGAACCTATGAGCCAAACTATACCTTTCCTTATGGACTATGCAACTGTTATTCAAATCTAATAAAGTGATTTTGTTTCAAGAAAAGCTAAGATGTGTCTACAACTGAAGGGATGCACATGATTTTTGTTGAGTTGGAGAAGAACAAGAAAGAAAAAGCAAACACACATTAAAAAAGATAAAAATTTGACTGAACTGGAAAAAATTAGACGCATGTCCAGTAGCAAAACCAAACACGATTTGGGAAGAAAGAACATGAAAATTAGAAATATCCAACACTCAACGATTTTACCAAATAATGCAAATAATAATTATCATAACCAAAATTCTCGACTAGTTAGGCTAGAGGGATGGGTAAAATGTGAAATGATTCCAGTTTATGTATGGTAGGTGATGACAAGTTTGACATAAATAAAGTGAAACGTCCAGGAAACACATCTTCTATTTATTATTCGTAGCAGGGCAAACAGGGGGGAGTGATAGAATGCAAATCTAGTTATAGAACCAGATATTTGGTTGAGCTTGTGCCTATAGGCAACAAAAACCGAACCTCAAATCCAAACAGACAATCTGTTTATGTCTGCGTGTCATGTTCGGTGAAGTTTAAACCTAGGGCACACCCAAAATGCACCTTTTTACGCCCATTTTGCATGTTTTATGACTCCAGATAGGGTGTGGACCGCTAACTGTTTGGAAAAGCAGGTTTGACCGATTTTTAGGCCCATTTTACAAGAGGGCGCACGAATTAGCGGGCACGCATATGTTCTTTACCTATTTCACATTGAGAGTTTTGGAGAATGGTTAATGAATGGCTAGACTTATCACGGTGAGCGAGATAGCAATCATAAAAATGATGGATCAACATGTGGAGCAAAAATATTACAAATCGAAAAGCGATGACTTCCCTCACAATATTACTAATTGGGCCTTATGGAACAAGCAAAATGCGCGAGTCTTCTAGAACAAGTCCGTCGTCATCACCTCCCCTTTTGATCAATATCAAGAGCGAGGCCAAGTTTTAGGCAACTGCGGGTGCCAGTCACTTGAGAAACATCATTGCCAGGAGAGTAGTTCAACTTGTATCTTTTGTCCTTTCCTTTTTATAAACCTCTGTCACCATTCTTCTTAATTATTGGATGAGGGAAATCTTTTGCCCTCGAAAAAGGGTATACCCACACCTTTTGTTCACGCCATGCGCATTTAGGCAAGCATGCCATACAATTTCCATATTCTTTGTTGGCTGTAAATGCTAAGTGTGTCATGCTATACTCAAGCACATTTTTAGCTTCATTTTGCGAAACTAAAGAAAAGCACAAACTAGCCAAGCAGCAAAAGGTCATCAATAATAAATGTGCCACGGCTTCTCGCAAATGTTCATACTTGTTTATGAAAAAATGTAAGGGCGGGTTTCTATCCAATCCCCATGTGCGTGTTTTCTTTTCCTTAATTCTATAAAACTTATAAATACAATTTTGACTAAGTTTTAAGAGAATATTCTGGTTAGGGATATCTAGCATTCAACAACTTTATCTAATAATGCGCATAGTCATACACTCACAAATTTACAGAAGAGGAAAACATGCCACAATCCAAATTCTGCTAACCTGGCTATTATTTGCCTGAGGTGTGTACATTTTTCCCGCAAAAAAAGAAAGAAGAAGCAATGTACGTTTTTTCAATGAAAGGTAGAAGCAGCACAAGCTGAACCTTAAGTCCAAACAACATATCCAGTGAAGCCTCAGTCTAGTGGCACCCACAGTTGAACTACTCTGAGATTGCACCAACAATCTCTTTGATTTGCAGAATTCCAGAAAATGTATGAATACAAAAAATACTTCCTCCTATTGGAAAAAGATGTCCTAGTCAGTTTTGCACTAAGGTTAATGTCATGCTCATTCAAATCCTACATGATTTTGGTTGGTTTGTTTACATACTAAAAAACACAAAGTACTATTCTTTTCGAAGAGGCTTGAGTGGATGCTTCAATCATACCAACCAAATGACCAACATAAATTTTTCTCCTAAAATTTATATTTCTAAATTCTTATGAAAATCCTTTGGAACAAATAGGCCCTAACAATGATCGAAGGCTAAAAAAAGAAAGAAAGAAAGATTGAAGGCAAAGAAGGACGACCGCGAAGCAACCTCCACACGAAAACACGGAATCCTCTGTCACGCTGGACGAGAGAGCATTGAGGGTGTGTTTGATAGCATGTATGGACCTAGCCTAATTGTTCTCATCTCATACATGCTGAGTTTAGACATGCTGAGTTCATGCAGTTGCTGTTGTTTGGTAGTGATGTATGCGTTGAGACATGCTGAGATGAGATTTTGTTTGGCAGCCTGCATGTGTTTAGACATGCTGAACAATTTCAAATTCTGAATATTTTTTTTGAATGATGAACAAAATCGAAAAAATGTCAACACAAATTTAAACATATTTTGAAAATTTAAATAAAATTTGATATTCTAAACTTTTTTGGAAAATTAAAATAAATTTTAAAATTCTATTTTTAAATTTGAACATATTTGAAATTATGAGTTTTTTGAAAATTTAAACAAAATTTGAATATTTTATAAAAAATATTTTTTTTCAAAATTCAAACGAATTTTGATTTCCTTTTGAAATTCCGAACATTTATGTTTTTTTAGAAAAATTGAAAATTCAAACAAATTTTGAAATTATGATTTTTTCAATAATTTAAACAATTTTGGAATTATTTTTTTATTTTTTTCCTGAAATTCTAAAGTTTTTCGAAAATTTAAACAAATTTTGAAATTCTGATTCTTTTTGAAAAAAATAAACATATTTGGACGTGGTTTGGTCGGTGGGGACGAGTGTCAGGGCCAACATAGCTACCTCCATGCACCCTGTCTGGGGTGCATGAGATGAACATGGCCGAGGGCACTTTTATGCATCAGATGAGCATAGCTCAGGTGGGTCCATGCACCCTACCAAACAAGCAAAAATAGATCGGATTAGAAACTTTTGCCCTCATGCACCCTTAATACATCCTATCAAACACACCCTGAGGCATCTCTCTCGAAGCAAGGGGACACATCACAGTGAACTTCGAGCTGCCACCACCAACTCCAAGGCCAAAAACGGCGCACACGCAAAGCAGCTGTACCAGGACCAAAACACCTCGCTAAACCAAATCTACTGCTAAACACCAGGCGAAGGCACCTACCACCCACCAATACCATACCAGCGGCAGTAAATTTCGAGCTGCTGCTGCTACTGCTGGCTGCTGCTGCCTGCTCGGCATACCACCCACCAATACCATACCAGCGGCAGTAAATTTCGAGCTGCTGCTGCTACTGCTGGCTGCTGCTGCCTGCTCGGCACACTTCACTCCATCTCCGCCTCCGCCCCCTCCCCCGCCCCCGCTCCGCCTCCGCCTCCGCCACCCCCAGCGCTCCTAGGGTTCCATCTTGGCTGCTCGCGCGCCGCGTCGCCGTTGCCGGGGTTCGGAGGAGGGGCGTGCTGCTCGGGGGGAACCCAAATCGGGCCTCGCGGGAGCCGTTCCCCCGCCCCGCCGCCGATGCCTGCGAGGTTTCGCGGCTGAGCTTTCGTTTTTGCCTCCGGGAGCTCGCGGCGGGGAGGTCTCGGCGTTTCTGGGGTTTAGATCGGGGCCTCTGAGCTCGCTCTCCGCAATGCCGGGGAGGTCGGGCGTCGATTGCTAGGGTTTTGCTCGTGGATTTGCCGAGAGAGGGCTGGGGATCGTTCGGAATGCGGCGAGTCGCCCGAGGTCTGCTGCTTGCTTTCGCGCAATTTGATGTTTCCCGACCAGCTGTGCCTCGTCGATTTGGTTTCCTGCTAAGCCTGTGAAGGGGCGAGGAGGAGGAGGGGTTTTGGGGAGGTTGGGACGAGTTGCTGATTTGGCCGCGATGTCCGGGTCTAGTTCGAGGGGGCGTCTGTCTCCGGCTTCAGGTGGTGGAGACTCTGAGCCGCGGTCTGCGGGGAGCAGGACACGATCTGTGTCTGCTACCCGGGGTCGGAAGGCGTCGCCGAGGCCTGGGAGGGATGTCGCATCAGCAACAGCGACAGTGGAGGAGAAGAAGCCTGCTGCGGTGCCTACATTGCTCCCTTCGCTCAGCGTGCCGGCAGGGATGCGCCGGCAGGAGCTGCTACTGCGCTCAGGGTTCTCTCTTGACGCCTCATGCTCATCAGACGCTTCGACAGACTCGTTCTGCAGCCGGGCATCCACTGGGCGGATTGGGAGGCCGGTGTTTGGGCCGAGGAAGAAGAAGACCGTCTCCCAGGCTGATCATAAGGTCTCTGCCATGCTGGAAAGGGAGGCTGGATCTGCTTCTCCAAGTGATGCTTCTGGTCTGAAGAGGAGGTGTGCTTGGGTGACTGCTAATACCGGTGCGTCTTTTTCCATTGCTTTGCATTTTCTTGATTCACTGCTCCTTTGAACATATAAACCTGCAATTGGTCTAGTGCAATGGTTTCTAGTACTGCAGTAGTGGCTTTGTTGTAGGCAGAGGAGGCAATCTGCATCAGATCTAAAATTCAGATGAAAAGGTCCATTTTATTGAGTTTAGAATGCTAGATTCCAATGATGCAAACCGGGGACCAGGACTTTATGATTCACTCATGGATGAAGCATTTCAGGGGTCTCTGATCTTTAAGATTCCAACTGTTGCAAGTACTAAGAAATTTTATGATTAAGTAGTTAGAAAGCTATCATCACAAGGAGGTACATTGCTAAAGGGTAAAGGCTGTCGTTCTACCTTATGAAGTTACTCACTGTATCAGTATTCTTGTTTACATTAATGCGCCGTGTGGATCTGGTGTGGTTGTGGGTAAGCATTTTTTTTACTGATTTTGTATGCAGAAGGTAGGTATTTCTAGATGCGACTAGTAAAGTGTAGAATTATGCCTGATAGTTTGTGTCATACAGGGACTTTACTCTAGAAAACCTTCGCACAGTGGGTATTTTTGTAATTCTACTTGCTGAAACAACATATACATAGATATTCTGCAAGATCATTCACGATGAAAGCACAGCTATAAACTTAGAAATGTGAAACAATGTTCCGTTGGACTAGCAATATTTTTTTGACAACATGTAGGACCAGCGATGTTTGTCATGTTACATATAAGACCTTATTGAAGAGGGTAGGTGAAAATGAGAATTTTGTTGGTATCTTCTTGGTGAGTCAAGGACTTTGTGTGTGTGACTATAGGTATGACCTATTCAAAGAAGTTTGCAATTGGATGCCCATGAGTTTTGAGTATTGTGGATAGCATTCTCTTACAGAGCTGCAAGTGGGCTACCCCTGTTTTTTACCAGTAGTGCAACAAATTCACTGACCACAAATATGGATATAATCGTTGAGTACCTTCACAAACATGTAAACTATTTAGGAGAAGTCACTAGAATCTTGTGGCACTTGTGCCAAGAGGTCCTGGGTTCGAACCAGCCTCTCTGCATTGCACTTTGCAGGGGTAAGACTAGGTTCCTATAATCCCTCCCCAGACCCCACCTTGTGTGGGAGCTTCTATGCACTGGGTCTGTCCAGTAGAATCTTGTGGATTTCCAAGTTGGGATCTTTGAGGAATAATTTTCACATGCTTGCCTGTTCATAGGCTTGATATTAAAGTAGGCAGGAGTGGCTTCTTTTCTCCCCTCCCCTGTTTTGCTCCAGCAATGCTATTTTCATTACATGTGGACCTGGTAATATGTAATCACAACTTTATTTTGTCACGTGGATCTTAACAGCAAAAAGGAAACCTGCATTTGAATCCCAGTGTGGGACTACCATAAATTTTGGGAACATGAACTTATACTCAACGAAGTGTAGGATTGTTATTTTTAGTGCATTTCACTACCTGGATATCCCCCCCCCCCCCTTTAATTACCAATTGTTGCAATAAGATCAAGCTGATTATATCACTAATCTAGTGTTTGTTCAGAGAGTCCATCGCATGTAAAAGCTATTGCCCTATCTTATTGCTTATTAGCCATCATTTGCTTCATATAATTCATGGTGCATTTTTATCCAAAAAATTCTTCTTAAGTTCTTATTTTTAGTGTGGTCATCACTTGATTTGATGATATTAACTTACAAGTGCAGATCCATGTTATGTTGCATTTCATGACGAAGAATGGGGAGTTCCAGTTCACGACGACAAGTATGCAATAATGAACCTTGATAAAAATTACTAGTTTCTTTAGGCATACAACACTCTTTGTAAAACATACTGTTTTATGTTTCTCCAAAGAATGTCTTATGAAGTGCTTATTTTAATTACAGGAAGTTGTTTGAGTTACTGGTGCTCTCGGGTTCACTGGCCGAACTTACATGGCCAACAATTTTGAACAAGAGATCTATATTCAGGTAGCTCTTTACACTTTTGATGTACTTGGATGTTGGCATTTGGCAACCCTGGTAACATATTCAGGTGTGCTTGACAGGGAGGTTTTCATGGATTTTGACCCTGCATCAGTCTCTAAATTAAGCGAGAGGAAGATTATTGCACCTGGAAGTCCTAGCAGCTCCTTGTTATCTGAACAGAAATTGCGCGGTGTTATTGAGAATGCACGACAAATACTGAAGGTTAGCCCTTTACTCATAATAATTCTATGTCATGATTATGGGAATCTTCATTCTTGAAACTAAGTGCTGCTTTGGGATTAGAACAAGTGAAATATATATAGCTGTATTTTACTCTCCTTAAGTTTTGGTAGCTCCATATGGAAATGAAACATTTACCTTTCTTACTGACATTTTGGACGCAGTTTCTTGCACCCACTTCTACTGATAAAAAAGCCGCACATGATCTTTGCCACAAGATATTCTTGAACCGTGTTGTCTTACCTTCACCATGTGTCTATCATTGCAGGTTATAGAGGAGTTTGGGTCATTTGATAAGTACTGCTGGAGCTTTGTGAACCACAGACCTATATTGAGCACATTCAGGTATCCCCGTCAGGTTCCTGTCAAGACATCTAAAGCGGACGCGATAAGCAAAGATTTGGTCCGAAGGGGTTTCCGCAGCGTAGGCCCAACGGTCGTGTACACCTTCATGCAAGTCTCCGGCATGACCAACGACCACCTCGTCTCCTGCTACCGGTTTGCTGAATGCACCGCAGCCGCAACTGGTGCTAAGCCTACTACCGAATCTGGCAGCGAAGCAAATTCAGGCGCCAGCAATCACGCCGCGGAGCAAAAGGCGAACGGAGCTGCTAACGGACTAGCCGTTGACATTGGGCTGTCCAGAACGATAGACGAGCTCAGCATCTCGTAGCGGCGGCTGTGATGGGGACGCTGGAGCCATGTATAAGCGTTGTGTGCATTTTGTGTATCGTAGGGTAGCTTTTCTCGGCGTGTTAAGACTGGTTGAACAGCAGCATGTAATGATGTATATTCTTTGTGATGCAAATGCATTTGTTTTTCCTGAATCAGTGGTGGAGCTGGCATCTCAGGTTGGCCCTCGTACTCTGTTAGTTAGTTTTTTTTACATCAAAGTACTCTTTATTGCAATTGCAAGGTGATGACCATAATATATCTTATCAACAATTTCTACAGGTGGATCTTTCACCCACCCCGCATACACCTTACTTCTAACTAGTTTGGCTAAATCATTGGCAGTACAATTAGTCTCTCTAGGAGCATGTTTAAAAGTAATATGTGAGAAATCACGCATAAGCTGATATATATAATCAAAAACTGCTGATCATCAAAAACTGCTACCGATAGACTGAAAGAGCGATCTCCATTTTTCATTGTCTCTATCACCTTGATGTCGTCGGAGTTCACCTTTATGCTGATAATCAAAAACTGTTGCCGATAGACCGAAAAAGCGATCTCCATTCTTCATTGTCTCTATCACCTCGATGTCGTCGGAGTTCACCTTTGTGCGATTACACTCGACTGTAGTCACCAAACCGTAAGACCGAAAAAGCGATCTTCATTCTTCATTGTCTCTATCACCTCGATGTCGTCGGAGTTCACCTTTGTGCGATTACACTCGACTGTAGTCACCAAACCGTAAGGCCAATGCCTAGGCCATAAGTGCATCTCTGCACCAATCGACTTCCTCGGTTCCTGCCACGAGGAATCTGCCATTCGAGTCTAGCCTCATATACATTTAGCTTCACATAGTTGCTCCTTGGTCTTTCCCAGCCATGTCGCTTGATCGTTGCCTTTGCATCACTCGCCATAGTATAGTTAGCAACCAAATCTCTGATTGCCGTTGCTATGAACTTAGGTTCCTGGACCTTTTCATTAGAGCATCTCCAACAGCGGTGCAAAAAGATGCGCGCGTGGTAAACCGGCTTTTTAGCGCGCGAGAGACTTTTTGGCGCGCTCCAGCGGCGACAGGAAAGTAGCGCGCGCGGGAAACAATTGCGCGCGCGTGGGAAAAGACGGCAGCTCGCGCGCTAGATTTGGCGTACCGCTTCCAGCGCACCTATAAATTGCGGCGCTCGCCACGCGGCCTTCACACTGCCACGCGCGCTCTCCCCGCTCCCTCTGCCGCTTGCTCGCCCCGCCCCCACCGCGCCACCATGCCGCCGCGCCGCCGGGGATCGTCTGGCTACCGCGGCGTCCGCGAGCGCCCCGACGGCAACTACTACGCCGAGATTCGGTCCGGCGACGTCCGGCTCGGCCTCGGCATGTTCGGGACCGCGCACGAGGCCGCCCGCACGCACGACGCGGCGGCATGGCGCCTAGAGAGGCCTCCGTCGCAGATGAACTTCCGCGACGTCTTCACGCGCGAGCAGGCGTAGGCCGTCGCCCCTCTGCCTCGTCTTATCACGGATCAGGACCGTGCGGAGCGTCGCCGGCGGCAGCGCCGCCTCCTCACCGCCGAGGAGGACAAGCGAGCCATGGCGGAGTGGCGCCGGCGCCACCCGGAGGACATCGCCGCCGAGCACGCCTATTGGGGGGAAAGGACGGCAAAGCGCCGCGCGGAGCGGGCAGACAGGCATCGGCGGAAGGCACTGACGATATCGCAGTGCGATATCGTTGAAACAAGTGGGGAGTCGATCTTTTAGGATAATGATCTTCATTGGCAGGACATGTGGCTCGATACCTCGGACAACACCAGCGATGATGATGATGATGATGAGGACGACTCGGAGTAGGTTGTAGTTGCACCATAGTTTATTCAGTTGCACCGTAGTATGTAGTTGCACTGTAGTTTTTATGTAATCGCACCATAATTTTATCTATCTATGCTATGAACTATGTAAAATATCTATGTATCGTTTTATCTAAAAAGATATGTATGCAACCTAGTCCAGAGTGTTCGTGCGACAGCGTGCGCGCTGCAGCACGCCTACTAGAGCTACGCGCGCGTGCTAAATTTAGTGCGGCTGCTGGAGCCAGCGCTGCCCGCCGCGCCAAACCAGGCGATGGGCGTGCTGCAAAGTACTTTTTAGCGCGTCGCGCGTTGGACGGCTGTTGGAGATGCTCTTATGCACTAACTTTCTCCTCTCTCACCATAAATACCAGAAACCAATAGCAATTGCTTCCGCTGAAATTTCTCAGATCGAGTATCACACATTCTTCAACTGGTTGCACCACTAAATATTCAAGCACATTTTCTCCTGTATGATCCACGACGCATGCTCTATCAATAGTAACGTCCAGACCCAGTAACCTCCATACCTCTTTAGCTTTGCACAAGTGAATAACCGGTGCTTGGTATCCTCCGCTCCTATACCGCACGTAGGACATTGCCCAATAACTTTTATACGTCTGTTAGCCAAAGTCACCCGACATGGGAGCGATCCTAACAAAGTTCATCAGAGGAAAATTTGACGCTTGCCAGGATAGCTTAAGCTCTAGACCGTCCCCCATATTGGTGAGTTCCATAAGGGTCCGACTGTATTTTCTCCTGATATTTTATGTCCATATTCGTTGTGCCACTCTGCAAAGTATGTTGATCTCACTAGGAATCTCCCGTTTTTGCACAAGTTCCATGCTACGAAGTCTGACATATCAAATTCAAGCAACAAAATCGCAAGGATCTGCGCCACGTCAACTTGCCAGAATGTTTGAGAAACCAACTCTTCATCACAACGACCCGCAACAGGGTCAATGGAATCACTTACCTTTCATAGTAAATTGCCTCCACAAGCCATGATCACTTTCTTGGTAGGTGAGTTAGGGATCCATTCATCATCCCAAACATTGATTCGACTACCATCACCAACCCTCCATGTATGACCTTTTTTAGTGTCTGCACCCCCAACATAATACTTTGCCATGTGAATGAGGCTTTCTTTTCCAGAGTTGCATTCAAAATATCACAATCTAGATAATACTTGGCTTTGAGAACACGTGCACAAAGGGAATCTGGATTATCAATTAATATCCAAGTCTATTTCGCAAGCAGGGCTAGGTTAAAACAATGAATATCTCAAAATCCCATTCCACCTTCTTTCTTTGGCACACACAACTTCCACCACACAAACCAGTGCATTCTCCTCTGGTTGTCACCATCACCCCACCAATAATATGACACCACGTATGTAGTTCCTTTACAAATCTATTTTGGAATTTTGAAAACTGACATTGCATAAGATGGTATAGCTTGTATAATTGATTTGAGTAGCACCTACTTTCCTCGTGTTGAAACTTTCCTTTCCTTCCATCCCATAATTCTTTTCATAACTTGATCCATAAAAAACTGGAAACAATCAGTCCTATGTAGACCCACAGTGGATGGTAAGCCTAGATAAGTATCTGATAGTGCCTCGGCCATATATTCAAACTTCTGCAAATTTGTCGTTGGAAATATGCCCTACAGGCAATAATAAATTGGTTATGATCATATTTCATTGTTCATGATACTCCCTCCATTTTTATTTAGTCCGCATATTAGCTTTGGTCAAAATCAAGCTTCATAAAATTTGACAAAGTTTATAAACAAAAATATTAACATATACAATAACAAATCAATAGCATTAGATTCATTATTGAATGTAATTTCACATCATATAGATTTGTTATGGTAAATGTTTATATATTTTTTATAAACTTGATCAAACTTTATGAAATTTGACTTCAGTCAAACCTAATATGTAGATTAAATAAAAATGGAGTTACTACATGTTTATTATTAATGCTAGAATTGTATTGACCAAAAACTTAAATATATGTGTGAATACATAAACAATACCGTGTCCCTAGTAAGTCTCTACTAGACTAGCTCGTTGATCAAATATGGTTAAGGTTTCCTAACCATAGACATCAGTTGTCATTTGACAACGGGATCACATCATTAGGAGTATGATGTGATGGACATGCCCAACCACAAGCTTAGCATCTGATGGTATCACTAAGTTCACTTTGCCGTAGCTTTCGTAATGTTAAGTATCTATTCCTTCGACCATGTGATCATGCCACTCCTAGATACTGGAGGAATACTTTGTGAGTGAAAGGATCGATATAGTTGACTAGAGGGGGGGGGGATGAATAGGCAACTAATTTTTTTAGCTTTTCTTTACCAATTTAAACTTTGCATCAAAGTAGGTTGTCTAGATGTGCACTGGGTGAACAACCTATATGATGCAACAACAACAAGTACACAAGCAAGCAAGAGATGCAACACAAAATAATCTTGCACAAGTAGAGGTACGAGATAACCAAGAGTGGAGCCAGTGAAGACGAGGATGTGTTATCGAAGTTCCTTCCTTTTGAGGGGAAGTACGTTTCCGTTGGAGTGGTGTGGAGGCACAATGCTCCCCAAGAAGCCACTAGCGCCATTGTATACTCCTCACGCCCTCACACAATGCGAGATGCCGTGATTCCACTATTGGTGCCCTTGGAGGCGGCGACTGGACCTTTACAAACAAGGTTGGGGCAATCTCCATAACTTAATTGGAGGCTCCCAACAACACCATGAAACTTCACCACAATGAAATATGGCTCTGAGGTGACCTCAACCGTCTAGGGTGCTCAAACACCCAAGAGTAACAAGATCCGCAAGGGATTAATGGGGGGAATCAAATTTCTCTTGGTGGAAGTGTAGATCGGGGCCTTCTCAACCAATCCCTAGAAAATCAACAAGTTTGATTGGCTAGGGAGAGAGATCGGGCGAAAATGGAGCTTAGAGCAACAACGGAGCTTAGCAGTGGAAGAGGTAGTCCACTCGGAGAAGAAGACTCCCCTTTTTATAGTGATAGAACAAATCCAACCGTTATCCACTAACTCAGCCTGCGAAGAGCGGTACTACCGCACCAGAGAAGCGGTACTACCACAAGGGCCTGCGGTACTACCGCGTGGCTCTGTGGTACT